GTCACACGCTTGAGGTATTCAGCCAATCACAACACACTGGATAGCTGGCCAATCAGAGCACACCTCGCTTTTTTAGAACGATGAGCTTTGTAAAAATCGACGCGTTTCAGAAAGGCGGGGCATAGAGGAGAAACAATAATGTACATTATATGGAAAATGTTTGTTTTAACCTTAAACCGCATAAACACTTTGCATTACACCAAATACACAACATAATGTTCTTTTTAGCAACATCATATGACCCCTTTAAAATATGATTTAAAAGTTTTACTTTGCAATTCACATGAAAAAATATGCACACACTGATATTGTTATAGATCAAAATCGTAAGAATGATTTTCTGCTTTCTGCCCACCCCTAATGTCAATTTATCTTTGTTACTTTGTGTATAGTAAAAAATAAAAAGCACAGGGTCAAGCTTAGGGCTGTGATGTGTTAGGTTTCTTTATTTTTACCTTGCGAGGTGACACACAAACTGGGCGCAGAGAGTGTGGCGTCACTGGTGTAAGCGGAGCACAGGTTCTCATTAGAAGGGGAGGGTTTGAAGGACTGGAGCAGTGGGCTGCTCCCCCCAGGGGCCAGGAAGGCCTGTTGAGGCGGGTACACAGAGGGAGCGCTCTGTGCGGATAAAGTGCTGGTTGCTGTAAGACCACCAACAAAAACACACATACATATAGAAGCGCTGATCAGAGCCAGGACACAAACACAGATTTAAAGTTTCTAGGGCCGAATTCATAAAAATCGTCTAATAAAAGAAGTTAAGAAATTTTGTTAATGCAGTTTTTGAAAAATTGTTGAAATAATAGTATACCCCAAGATGAAAATTTGCTTACATCTTGCCATTCAAGATTTTTTATTAATCATCAGAACAGATTTGGATAAATTTAGCATTGCATCATTTGCACACCAATGGATCCTCTGCAGTGAATGGGTGCCACCAGAATCGGAGTCCAAGCAGCTGATAAAAACATCACAATAATCCACACTCCATTTTCTTACAAACATGCTACTTTTTACTTCGCAAGACATTAATCAATCGACGCGTTTCAGAAAGGCGGGGCATAGAGGAGAAACAATAATGTACATTATATGGAAAATGTTTGTTTTAACCTTAAACCGCATAAACACTTTGCATTACACCAAATACACAACATAATGTTCTTTTTAGCAACATCATATGACCCCTTTAAAATATGATTTAAAAGTTTTACTTTGCAATTCACATGAAAAAATATGCACACACTGATATTGTTATAGATCAAAATCGTAAGAATGATTTTCTGCTTTCTGCCCACCCCTAATGTCAATTTATCTTTGTTACTTTGTGTATAGTAAAAAATAAAAAGCACAGGGTCAAGCTTAGGGCTGTGATGTGTTAGGTTTCTTTATTTTTACCTTGCGAGGTGACACACAAACTGGGCGCAGAGAGTGTGGCGTCACTGGTGTAAGCGGAGCACAGGTTCTCATTAGAAGGGGAGGGTTTGAAGGACTGGAGCAGTGGGCTGCTCCCCCCAGGGGCCAGGAAGGCCTGTTGAGGCGGGTACACAGAGGGAGCGCTCTGTGCGGATAAAGTGCTGGTTGCTGTAAGACCACCAACAAAAACACACATACATATAGAAGCGCTGATCAGAGCCAGGACACAAACACAGATTTAAAGTTTCTAGGGCCGAATTCATAAAAATCGTCTAATAAAAGAAGTTAAGAAATTTTGTTAATGCAGTTTTTGAAAAATTGTTGAAATAATAGTATACCCCAAGATGAAAATTTGCTTACATCTTGCCATTCAAGATTTTTTATTAATCATCAGAACAGATTTGGATAAATTTAGCATTGCATCATTTGCACACCAATGGATCCTCTGCAGTGAATGGGTGCCACCAGAATCGGAGTCCAAGCAGCTGATAAAAACATCACAATAATCCACACTCCATTTTCTTACAAACATGCTACTTTTTACTTCGCAAGACATTAATCAATGTACTGGAGTGGTGTGGATTACTTGTGGATTATTGTGATGTTTTATCAGCTGTTTGGACTCATTATGACGGCACCCATTCACTGCAGATGATCCACTGGTGAGCCAGTGATGTAATGCCAAATATGTCCAAATCTTGGATGGACTGAGGGTACTTTTTTTATTTTAGCAAATTTTGTGGTGTACTATTTCTTTAAGACTCAAAATATTATTTATATCAAATATTTTACATTTTTTCTTTAAACAAAAAAAAGATTTAAGACACTATTTATTTATTCATTTACACCAAGTTTATTTTACAATGCTTTTAAACAAAATTATTTTTCATTCAAGTTTCGTCTTTCCTAAGTTTTATCTTTGTATAAAACAAACTTGAGAAAAAAAGAAATATTCTGTATTCCAAAAAAAAAAAAAAACTTCACTCTTTAGTTAGAAAATAAGAAGACAATACCAGTTAAGAAGAATTTAATTCTTAAGAATGTTTTGTGAACCCAACCCGATTTGCACAAAAAGGCAAAGCAGAACAAGTGAATACCTGGCTGTACAGGACTCTTGCTTCCCTGTGAGCTACTGCGGCTGGATTTGCTGCTTTTGCTCTTGGTGGGACGTCGTCTGCGGCCGGCTGGGTTCGCAACGGGAGGGTTGACCATGGTGGGAGGTGCTTTGCCCAAGCGAGCAAAAAGGGCATCAATCTCTGCCTTCTGCCGGGTGTACAGAGCCTGACTCTCCATCATGTGCCTAGGAGGAAAATAAGGATGTCATAATTACACTGCATATCTTTAAACTATGTTACACTTTCCTGTTACAATATATTAATCAAAACCATACTTCTCCCTCAGCTTGCTGACTTCTCTCTTAAAGTCCTCGTCTTCAAACTCTGAGTCATTGTCACTGCTGAAGTAGGAGCTGACAGAGTTGTTGAGGCTCCCGGGGCTCTGAGCCGGACCGTTGCCTACAGCTAGATGGGCTTGAGGTGCCGGCTGGGGTTCTGGGGAATGTAATCTTGCTACAGCAGCCTCGTCCTGTTCTCTGCTCACTGAGAAACGGCCCACCTGTGTGTCAGTCTTGGAGGTCACCTGGAAACGGCCAATGGTGGTGGGCTGGGGATGGGTTGTCGTCTGGTTGGGGAGAGCAGGGAGGCCGTCAACCAAATCTGCTTTCGTGTCTCTAAGGTGAGAGGAGGTTCGGTGCAGCGTGTTCTCGGGGCTAGAGAGAGTGGAGGAGGATGATGAAGAGGAGGTGGTGGTGGAGGAAGAAGATGTGGAGGATGAGTCATGGGAGGTGGTGGGAGCCTGCGGGGCGTTCTCATCAGGAGCCGCTGACACCTGAACGAGAGCGAGAACAAGAGTTCCACCTGCTGTCATACTAAAACACTATGAACATCCCGTTTTATCACCATTTATCACATTGCGAATTCAAGGTACCTGGAATCGTCCCAGTTTGTATCCTCCAGCTGCAGGTGCAGCTGCTGTCTCATCATCCAGAGAAAACGGAACTGAAAGAGAATCATCATTAATAAGCAGAGCTGATAATGAGCCCATGTAATATGAGAACAGGCTTAACTTTTTAGCTGCCTACTTTTTGTTTAAAGAACATGTTAAAGTAAAATTGGCAGCACATACCTGGCTGTCCTCCAGGTGGCATCCCAGTGATAGATGACTACAGGGATGAAAAAGGATGAGAAACAGATTACAGACATTTATAGATAATGTGCAAATTAAATAAAAAAAAAGTTGATTAATTATTTAAATAAAAAATGTAAAATAATAAAAAATGAATATATATACACTGAACAAAATTATAAACGCAACACTTTTGTTTTTGCCCCCATTTTTCATGAGCTGAACTCAAAGATCTAAGACTTTTTCTATGTACACAAAAGGCCTATTTCTCTCAAATTATATATATATATATATATATATACACACACACACACACATATTAGTGCTGTCAAATGATTAATCGCAATTAAACGCATCTAAAATAAAAGTGTTTGTTTACATAATATATGGGTGTGTACTGTGTATACTTATATTTATGCATATATAAATACACACATGCATGTATACATTTAAGAAAAATATGTTATATTTGTATATTAAATATATTTATATATAACTTATTTTGGACACGATTAATCGTTTGACAGCACTAATACATCTATCTATCTATATTTATGATATATATGATCATATTAGATAAATATAAATACATACAGATTTAAAAAAAATGATATAGATAGATGATAGATAGATAGATTGATAGATAGATCTGAGGAGCTAATTCGAGAACCATTTCTTTTATCTGTTCTTTGTGTATGGAAATTTCCAGTGGTGCTGTTTTGAATCTTTAACTGCAATAAATCAAATCAGACAGATCCTGCATTCAATCCATGTGTGCTGGTGTTTTCGGCCAGACCCCTGTCAGTGTTGCGTGTACCTGGTGCGTGACACTATTGATTGGGACGGTCTCTGGACTCAGCGCCCGTCTCAGCTGGGCATCCAGATCCTCCAGGGGCTGCTGGGACTAAATTATCCATTTCGGCAATTAGTCAAGTTCACTTAGCCCCAAGAAACACACATGCAGACTCGTACACTTATTACTCATGGCAAGTGCACACAAATACAGCAGGGGAACCGTGTATCTAATTAACTTCTGCATGAGATGATCTCTTACAGTAAGTACAGGGTCAGATGACCACTGCCTGGAAGAACTAAATGCTTTTAATCCAAGCTGAAGCTTCCTTTCATGTTCCACTACATATTTGTGAAATGGAGAGTAAATCCTTTAATAGGTCCATGCAACGCGGTTCCTGAAATGTTTTGTACAGGTTGGCTTGCGGCTGAGTGCTATCCCAGTAAGTTTTCTATTCACAAGTGATGGATGAAAAATATCACATCAAATCTACAGGATTAGAGAAAGTCTCTTGCATTTAGTACGAATCGCTTTAAACAGAAGGGAAGGATTTTCTCTGAATATGACGTGAATGCAAGCAGGGTTCAATTTGGAGCAAGGAATGACTTTGATTAACTGAGAATTGAAAGAAATTGAACTTCATCCACAACATGCTAAGAGATAAATCACTGATGTTTTAGGGGTGAAAAATTACACTCAATAAGGGGAAGTCAAAGAGTCAGAGCAGAAGCAATGCTCAAAACATAAAGCCACGTGTCAACACACTTAAAAATAAGAAAAATAAAGTAAAAAAAGTAACAATAAAAAGCAAATGTAAACTATCTTAGCTAACTAGAATTACGTCTTTTGTAAAACAACGCAAATAAATTTAACAAGGGGACAGAAAAACACTTTTAACTTTCCTTTAACTATCATAAAATAATTATTAACAAATGAGTTTGAGGTTTTATTACAGTCCCAATAAGACCAGAACGTGAATCACAACACTGCTTCATGTGTGATGATGTTTTCTGAAATCACAATCTTCCTGTTCTCCACTCGTCAATGGCAGAGAAAAAGAGAAAGAACAGCGAAGCTGAGTTAACGAAGGTCACAGGTCATGCTCCTAACTGGCCTCAAAGGAAAGCTACGCCATGCAGTGGTTTGATTACAAATCTTTACTCATGCTCTGCGTGTTTTACAGGAATGCAACTATATAAAAACAGAGTGAGACAGAGAGAGAAAGAAGAAAAGGGCACCTGAGTTAAACAAGGTCCTGGGAAGGGTGGTAGGTGCTCTGTGAGTGGCGTGCCAGCCTGATCTGGGCCGACAGGCAGCACCTAATGAATGAAGACGGAAGAGAAACTAAAGCATTGTAAAGATGGAGAGTTGGCAGAGGTGCCAATGAACCGCCACAAGCTACATGCAGCATAAGACTGAGTGTTATGGTCAAAGCTGTACTCAAAATGTAACTAGAGCTTTCTTCTACCATTACAGAAAAGTGTCAGTTGAGTTATATGGCATTCATGTAAGATTACAATGTCATGCATTTTGTCAGTCATGATTCTCAACAGCCATGCAGAAATTGGGTTTAAAAATATGACTAAAATCATACAGGTTTCAATACTGTTAGTGGTTTGAGGGAGGGATGTTAAAATGCGATGTTAAAGACAAGAACAGTGTTTGCTTTAACTGGCACCATGATGTCTAAATTATTTGCATTGTGACATTGTTTTCATGACAACTATGCCCCAAATTTACATTACTGTATATCTACACACACACTACACTGTATATTCACTACCATTTAAAAGTTTTTTTTTTGGCTTTAGTTTTTTGGGACTCTTTGATGAATAGAAACTTCAAAAGAACAGTATTTATTTAGAATTTTAAAATGTTGTAACATTATAAACATCTTTACTGTATCTTTTGATCAGTTTAATGTGTCTTTGCCGAAAACAGTATTAATTTATTTAAAAAACTGCAATAATGTAAATGATTCTGCCTGGACACATTATTATTATTTTTTTGCATTTATAATTAAATTACGTTTATTTAAAATAGAAATCAATTATATATATATATATAGTAACAAATTATAGTACTGAGAAATTTTTTTTTTTGCATTATAGCACTTACAGTTGAGGGATAGTTTACTTTTAATTTAAATAAAAATAATGCCACAATTCAAAAAATCGTAACTGTGCTAAAAATAGGCTTTATTTGCTTTGTAAAAATATAATTCATTTTTTTCTTTGATTTTGTGGTATGACCTATACACGTTGACAGGTTTCTTGAGAAACTTTAAATCAGCCTTTTGAATTTTTGACAAATTGGTCACTTACCGGTAATCTTGATAATGGTGCTTTGGATGGAGTCGTCTGACTGTAGCCGACCGGTGTGGAGGCATTACCCATGGATGTCATGGGAGAGCCTGTGGGCTGACCGGAGTTAAGGGGTAAACTAGAGGGAGGGAGAGGGGTGCCGCTAGGGGTGGCGCAGGCAGTTGGAGAGGAGGTGCCAGGGACGCTTGTGGCCACCATGGGGTCAGATGTGACATCAGACTGGGCAGAGGAAGGACCAGAGCCCAGGTCCATGAAGAGTGAGCGCAGCTTTTTATCTAGAGCCTGAATGTCATCAACACCCTTTCCCTGCGGGTCGCTGTCACATTCTACACAATGTGCATGGCTCTGATTGGGCACGGTGGAGGTTTGAGGTTGGCTGTGCATGGGTGTGGGCTGCACGACGGGTATGTTGGTGGTAACCGGCTGGAGGGTGGGCACTTGTGACTGAGCAGCCGAAGTGGGAATAACCGTGGTGGTGGATGGTGCGAGCGGCGGTGTCTGGATGGCTGTGGTGGGGATGACCGGTGGTGTGAGCTGAGCTGAAGTGGAGGGGATGGGTGGCTGTTCACTACTGCCACCAGAAACAGATCCCCTAGGACTCACGGGGTGAGCGAGCGGGGATGCAGTACAGGCAGGTGCGGGCATGGGGACTGAGGTTTGGGGGAAGGATGTGGTGGCAGGCACAGCTGGCATTGGCAGAGAGGAAGGAGTGGAAATAACACTGATGATGGCAGGTGCAGCTTGACTTGGAGGCAGAGGGAGTTGCGAATGGGCTGGAGGGAAGGTCACGGAGGAGGCAGGAAGGGTAGGAGGAGGAGACGATGACCCTGGAGGGTTTATGGAGACAGAGGGTAGAGATGGTGAAGAGGTTACTTCAGAAGACACTGTGGGAGGGACCACCGGCGTGGCGCTAGAGGGCAAGGGTGCTGCGGCGGGAACCAGAGGGGGCATGGAGACATGGAGCATAGGCGGCGCAGTGCTGGGACCTGGGTCAAAACGGCCGTGGCGCATTTCAGAGAACGCCTGCTGTAGACTAACTGCAGACGCAGACATAGAAAGCCCCAAGGCAGGCAGTGCAACTGACACAACTGATAAAGAAGAAAAATTCAAGACAGAAATTAATATGCGGTTGCATAAGTTGTCTAACATCTTCTAGTCTAGGCTGTTTGTACTAGGAGTGATCTTAAAATGTCTTTTCTGCATTTCTACTTCCTAATCTAGTTGTCAAACAAACCATGCATTGTAAATTACAAATACTGTTGTCTCGTTGACTAATTGCTTTTGCACTGCTAAATGCATAAATGTATTATCTAACCTATAACATTATTTCACATAGTACACTCACAGGATGAAGGCTCTTCGATTGTGGGTTGGGGTGAGCTAAAGAACTGTTCCCTCAGTCTGGATTCAGGCACTGGACTCACGATAAACCTTCGGCCTGCAGAGTGGACCACCTGGGCAGCTGAACTAGGTGGCACACCTGAGAGGGAAAAAGATTTCAGTGCTGATGCATCATTAAAAGGGGACATTAACTTGTTTTACATTGTGGGACTGTAAGATTTACCTTGTTCAAGAGGTGCAGATGTGGTGGGCATATGCTGCTCGTGATCACTAATCGTCTGGAATCATTGGATATACATTGTTAACTGTGATGTTCACAAGAATCACTTCAACACAAAAACAGTACAACAAGGTACATACCTGGCTGCGCTCTCTCTCCACACCTTTCTCATCTGCTGTTTCTATGACCTCTCGAATCTGCTCGATGAAGGACTCGCGCTCGCTCTCTAGAATGAATTCACTTTGTACCTAAGACATGACATAACGCCTCTTCTTAATGAGTTTTGGCAGCTCAAAGTGTATTTTGGAAACAGAAATGTAATTTTATTCGACATCAGCTTTTTGATCAAGATCAAAAGAAATCACAGGTTAATTGAGCATATCTGTTCAGTATTAAAAATGCGGGTGGTGTTTCAAGTTACCATTATCTGTGCAATTTCCTCTGGGTTATCGCCGTCGAGATCAAACTTGAAAGTCACCATTTTTCTGTTGTGTGTTTCTAATTGACACTCCGCAACTCTATCGCCCATTCTGGATATCTGAAACACACATTATGTTTTATTTAACATCTCGTGTTTTTTCCCCACCATCAAAAACTACAAAAACAATAAAAGAAAAAGGCCAATGTGTTCGACGTACATTAAGAACGTTGAGCTTAGCCTTTGAGGTTTTTTCATGGCGTGAACGGCTGCGTACTGATCTGCGCTGGTGTCTTTTGGCAGAACGACCCTCATGCCTGCCACCCGTTACGCCCTCATTACCATCGCTATGCCCAGATGCCACATCAGAATGACAGCTAATGGAAAAAAAAGAAGTGAAAACACCATTACGGCTTTAGTAGTACATCACATTGCATCTGCGTCCACTGTGTATGCTTTTGCATTGTTTTTCACTTACTGATAAACACATTGTGAATCTGCTAAATGATGATTCTTACCTCTCCACAGCAGGAGTTTGGAGTTGTGACAGCTCTGTCGTCAAAGTCTGAGAGACGCTATGAGATGTCTGGAAGAGCAAACAACAAAAACAAAGGAATTGTAATAGGAAGAGATGCAAACAATCAGATCAAAGAAGACAAAATAACAATGCATGTCTAAATAAAAAGTACAACTGCTTCAGGCAAAGCCTGAGAGTTTTCTAAAAAACCAGATCTTATTTCACAGCCGAGAAAAGAAAGGACGCTGCGTAAGGACAGCTAAGCAGCTATGCTTCCCAGACAAACAGAGATAAAAATAAGCATGACATGTCAATACAATAGCTTTGCCCTAATAAAGCAAACAAAAACTGTCTGCACTGATGCGTTTGGGGCCGGTTCGGTCTTTTCCAGGTACCTGCGCTGGGGTGTCTGATGGCAAACATGGATGTTCGTTGGGGGAAGGGACTGTGGCCACATGGATGGTTGGCACAGGTGTCATTAGAGGCGGCACCAATTGGGGCAGATGGGGCGGCAGCGCTGATGGGGACGTGGCTGGAGCAGGCACAGCTGCCAGGCATGTCAGCGCTTCAGGCACTGGTTGCTGTGGAAACGGGGCAGCTGCTATGGTTGGCGCGCAGAGAAGCTGGGGGAAAGTACGAGAGGGGTAGCTGGATCAGATCAGTGTGGTTGGGATGATGGAGGAGGAGGGAAATGTGTCTGCAAGCACCGACCGGGGGAGATGTAGACGGCAAGGCCAGTTTATGTGCAAAAGGAGCGATGTCTTAATAAACCGAAGGCAAACAATCATGAGATCAGACCACATGACAGAGACAGCATGCCACGGGGTGAACGCTGGATGACAATGACCGCAAGCAAAACACACATGAAAACTTTAAGCGCCAAACGCTTATTAGATTAAGTTAGGAGGGGCGCCTTTCTCTAAGTGCCTATAAACGTTCTCACGGTCAACAACACACTAAATAAAATCCAAATCCAACACCACATCAAACACAAATAACACAATTTATTTATTTGTGACAGAACCCACATCTGATAAATCACAAGTAAACAACTTTTCTGTGCCACTACAGTGTACCTGTGCTTTCAGCTGAAGGGAAAACAATAGCTCTGCACTAAACATTGGGAACTGAACAGAGAGAGACTGATCTCATTACCACACAACTGACAACCATGCAACATACAGGCAGAAACATGCCAGAAAACATCTATCAAACAAGCACAGCCGAGGCACGTCAGAGAGACGGCCACAGATACACTGTACATTGTTTTGAAACAGAAAAAGAGGGAAAGAAAAACAAACAAAAAGAAGAAAAAACTTCTACGAAGTAATTTACTAAGTTAACATGAAACTGCACACAGACACACACACAATATAATGCTATATATTTTAATGTTTCAGTAGTAATGCAAAACATGTATAATAAATTATAAAATATATTTAACATTACTACTTAAACATAATAAATCTTTAAATATGTATAATATAAAATAAATATATTTTTAAATATATATACAAACATTAAAAAATATATTTTTTCAGCATTTTTGCTTTTAGCTTGATTTGCTTACATCACATTTGATTGTACCTGTGTGGGCTGGGGGCCGGGCTGGACCTGCATCTGGGAGCTGCTCTGAACCACAGTGCTGGGAGGCTGTTGGTGTAACGAGACTCCTGGTTGGGATGTCGGCCCCAGAGAAGCCTGTTGCGGAATAGCAGCCTAAAAAGAAAGTAAGCATTTTGGCATGAAATACTCTCTATCCCAATCTCCAAGCCTTAGAAAATGAGTACATTTTAGGATCATATGCAGTTTGCACTCAACCAGCTTATCCTATTAGGCCTATGCAAATAATCTAAATAAAGACTCTTCCTTTAGTTTGTAAAAACTAACAAAACATTGACATTTTCATTTACAGAAATGCCCTTTACATGCAAGTCTATGGGGCAAGGCATTGCACAAGAGCATAATACCGTAACCCATAACTATGAGTTTAACCGGACAGTGTTCCCACCACTAAAATAAGCACTTACAAAAATACTAGCTTCACATTCTTGCTTTGAAACCCATTTGAATGTCTTGCCCCATAGACCTACATTGCAAGTGCATTACTGCAAATCTGATTTTTGTTTTTACAAACCAAAGGACAAAACTATGGTGTGTGCACGTCAGAAACGCTGTTCACGTTGCTAAACCTGGAACATTCCTTTATTAACACCTTTAAATAACTTCCCTTTGAAGAACAACTCAACATAGACATACTAAACTTTATTTAATTTGCACACTCATTGATCTTGACCTCGGTCTTCAAGACATTGACAAGCTTTTCAAGCCTCATTCAAACAGAGCAACATTTTGTCACCTACAGTACCTCATTATGCAATAATGTAATGACAAAACTTAAGATGGCAAGGCAAAGAGCTTCAAAGTAAAGTACAGGTAAATGAGAAAATAGGGCGAGAGAAAAAGAGGAAGAGAGAGAAAGAGAGGAATGGGGTTTTTCTCTACCTGCGAAGGGAGTGCTTGGACGTAGTAACCTCCATACTATAAGAAACAAATACAACACAGTGTAAGAGAAAGTCACCTCTGATGTCCACAGCTTTCACACGCAGGAGAGAATCCAGAGAGATTGGAACAAAACAAAAAAAACTCAAAAAGGTCTTGGGAGTGTTTGGAAAATGAGTGTTTTATTTGCCTTGGCCAATATTGGATGTTCATTTATGATAACGAATGGGGGAAAAGATCATTCTGATTGGTCAGACACATTGATCTTACCTGTTGAGAAGCAGAAGCGGCTAATGGGGTGCTGCAGGAAACCAGAGACATGGCACTTGTGGACTGAGGGATTGGGACCTGCACCTGTTACGAATATGAAGAGGAATATGGGGGCAGGCGAGAAAGAGAGAGAGAAACAGAGAGAGAGAAAGAGATATGGCAGTGGTGGAGAGATGAAAAGAAAAAAAGACAAGTCAAAATATGTTGGTGGCTACAGCGAAAAACAACAATGACTTTCAAATACTGACCATTCATACACAAAGTGTGAACATTCTGAGCAATGCACTCAGATCACCATTCACTTTTTGTGTATGCCTCTCACATCTAACGATTAAACGACAAACAAACATCAGGTGTTAGCCAGGGGAGTGAGTAGGCTTCATGCATGTGACTCTACATGATTCTGTAGTTCGGGTGAATGTTATTAAAAAAAAAAGCTCAGGGAAGCATGTGGAGTTGTTTGTATAACCAAGAAAGCATCTCCTAAAATAGACCCGAACACTGACTTTGCTCAATTTGACCACTTTCCCCCCACATGGAGGGTTTCGACAGAAGCAACCCTTAGAAAGCTACAAGTATACTTGTCCTTTAACTTCTTTTCTGCGAGGTACAGACAAGTATAGTTGCCCCAGATGCAGATCACCTTACCTTGGCATTATACTGAAGAATTTATTCATTATTAGCAAGAGGTTTAAGGAGCAGCAGGAAATAAAGTAGCCTTGGCAGATAAGAGGATGAAAATAACAGTGGTACAAAAGATAAAGAGAGGCAGAAAATAGGGGCGGAGAATGAGACTACAGGATGACATTGATAATGCAAGCCTTCTAAGGGTTAAAAATGACTTCTCAGTTAATGAAGTTAACATCCTAAAAGTAGTCAACAAATGTTGAGTGTTCTTGCGCTGGTAGGCTGTTTCTCGACTGGTGTCCTCAACAAAGACAAAATTGAAAACTGAAAGTCACTGAGAACCGTTTTAACCATTTCCAGCCAACTATGATGTAGCAGCAGATCTAAAAAGCAGCTGTTAAGGTAGAATACAACCAAAAAACAATTTTTTTTGTAAGGAAGATTAGAGGAACCTTAAGAGACAAGCAAACCTGTCTAAACCCCCTCTTTGTGTTGTATGTGTCTGTGTGTTTGGTCATACAAATCCTGCATTCAAGCCTCTTTTTAAGTATCTTCAAATCCTTTAAAAAACATATTTCGAGTGTTGATTATTGACTTTTATCATTAGAATAATTTGAAAGAGGCAATCAAAACTTCAGATTTGTATGCCATCTACAGATATGTAGCGTTACACAATATCTGTGCAAACACACAAGTATCATATACACCATTATATGAACATACACACAAAATAATACTTACAAAGTGAATCTGAAATGAAAAATCAATGGAAATAAAACAAATCACACCGTCCAATGGAAGACACAGAAATGTCTTTGCACAAGGGGATTTAAAAAGCAGGTTTATGCATTTAGCTCAGTGCACCTTGTGAACCTTTCTGAGCTCTAAATTATGGCTGGAGAGGGTTAAAACCACAACCACGGGACAAAAAAAAAATCAGGTAACTGAGATAAGAGACAGGGAGTGCTGGGGAAAGGTGGACGAGAATGAGTATTTCTAGGTACCAAGGTAGCGCCCTGATGGGACAAGGCAGGCTCGTGGTATGTGAGGTCCGGTGGAAGGGATGGTTGACGGGCCCAAGTACTGTGCAGAGCAGTGATGTGCGAGGACGGAACGGTGGACGATTCAGAAGGTGGAACGAACAGAAACGTTGTCTGACTGGGTGGGTGTCCTTCGCTGATGTTACTCCCTCCACCTGTTTTGTAGTAAGACGTTTGTGGGATGGATTGAGCAGCGGAACAGTCTTGAGGTTGGTACAACTGATGAGGCGGAGGCGAGTGGAACTCCCCAGCATCGGAGGAGGTCATAGAGTCACTTGAAGGTTCAGGACTGAGTTCTTTAGGTCCATGGAGAAGCAGGCTGCCCAGGGGAAGGGGCAGCTCTGGGCTCACATAGCTGTATAGTTCTTCGGTGACAGGCTGTAGTCGTCCACACAAGCCCTGGTTGCCAGTCGGTTCCTCGAGGTTAAGGTCCATGGAGCCCCGGCGGGCTCGATAGAGTCTGGATGCCAGCACGGCTGGGTCCACCTGGAGGTTGTGCATGTGGTATTCAAAGGCAGTGCTCGGCTCGGATGTATGAGCCAAGATGGGTGGTGCGGAATGGGGAAAAGAGTGGGGCTGATACGCTGGATCTGCAGCTGTGGTTTGCTGCGGTGCAGAGGCAGAGCTAGACACACTCATGGGAGGCAGTTGCGGGATGGGGCTGTGGGTCAAGCGTATGTGGCTCTGGACATGAGGGTGTAGGTAAGCTGGCCCAGGCTGTGATTGAGTCTCATAGGCCAAGCTAGCAGCAGCGGCAGCCTGCATTTGCTGATGGAAGCTGATGTGGCTTAGCTGATGCGCAGTCATAGGGTAGCCACTATAGGCCATGGCTTCCAGATGGTCCATTAATGCAGCCTGGTTGAGGCTGAGTCTGCGTACAGCCTCCTCTTGCTCGGCCCTCACGTCCTTATATCCGTATAATGACTCTGCTGGGGGCTGTAGGTGCAGTGGCTCAGCCAATCTTTGAGGCACCATACTGGGCATCATGAACAGGGAGGGTTCGACGCCGGGTCCCAGAGCTTCCATGCCAGAAAATGGGTGCAGGCTGCTGCCGTAGCTACGATGGTAGGCGGGCTGGAAGTGACGCGTGTGGGCCTCCAGGATGGAGGTGCTCTTGCGGCGCTGCACGTTGAAAGCTTTAGGCGGGCAAGATGGTGGGGGGGAGAACGAGACGGGCCGTTCCGGGAAGGTGGGGTAAAAGAGCGGGGGCTCGACCAGACCTGAGCCTCCTCCACCGTATGGCTGACTTGCTGATTGCGGCTGCGGTGACAATAACATACAGCATCTTTGTGAGGAAGTAGAAAAAGCAGCATCACAAAATTCACAAAGCAAGAGAAAGAGAGAGAGAAAATAAAAAGATGACACGTGAAAACACAGCAGATTATATTCATCCAACCAGGCAAAGATGACATAAGGAATAAGTTAAGAGATGTTTAACTGCTAAATGAGGTGTAGAAACATGACAGTGACAGATTTACAATTAAATACAGATGCCTTACAGGCTGTGGGGCCGAGGAACCATTTTTAATGATTGCAGTTCATGCCAATCTGTATTTAATGTGAGCACAGGGTTCCAGCCGAGTGGGCCAGGGTAACATGGGTATCTGAAAAATACTTTAATATGTCTTCATATGCTCAGAACTGACCTGTGGTCAACCCCTCATATTCTCAAGATTTATAACTCATCAGAGCAATGATTTAATCAGATTACTGGCTCAAGTGACTATGCAACTATGAACCTTTGACATACAAGAAAAGATATAAACAAGCTATTTATACTTGATAACGGCTAATTTGTGAAACTGCATTATTCATAACACGCTACTTTTTGCTAGCTTAATGCTTACATTCCTAAGAGACTAACATCAGCTGGGGACTAGACAGACTTAAAAAGAACTGCAGTTTGCATTTGTAAGTCCAATAATGGTTTTAATGTTAACACTAAACACTTAGAGATTGTTAGGCTTAAATGTAATGTTTTTGGATTCTGAATAGCTCACTTTGACTTAATAATGTAGAAGGATGCCATTTCATTTTTAGATCACACCTTTGGTGTTTTAGGGATGTAAATATTGGCCCTGAAAACAAATTAATTTTACTGCATAAATTTGGATTATATTTGCACTCCCAAAACTCTTTAAGCTTGTTTTGTCTTCTTATTTTAATAAAAGTATTCTTCACAGATACCCATGTTGTACCCAAGTCCAGCACAGCAGGAGAATCCTGGTTCACTGGGAGACACTAACATACAGGACTGGCAAAGATTGCTGGGAGACTGGCACGGCGACGGGGCGGGGCTGAGTGAAGGGGCAGGACACTCTCCAATGCTTTGGACAGTCGGCCCGCAAACGTCTCCCCATCTGGCCTCCCCAGCCGGGGCGAGAGCGGGGCTGATACGATTGGTGGAGGGGTGGAAGGTGGCTTGGGAGGACACGACAGAGCAGAGGTGGTAGAAAAGCAGGGCACGCAAACAGACATGCTACGACGATGGGGAAGAGGTGGAGGAGGCTGGAGGTGAAGGAGGGGAATTGACTATTAACCACAATGGAACACAAATGACACAAAAAGCCAAATAACCAAAAGAAAACTACAAGGAAACATTAGCATAAACAAAGATTAAATATCAACATTGCATTCTAAGATACTACACAGAAAGAAAAGCGACATTGATCTACAATAAACTTTGACCTACATACAAAGGTTACATGTTGATTAAATCTAACATCTGCTGTCGAGTCAGATCAAAAGAATGAGCCTGGTTCAATTGATGATTTATGATGTTTCAAAAGCAAAAATTGTTTTACAACGACCAACATGTGTTATCAGTAACAGAAACATTTATGCTATGATATGATTGCATGTGACAATTTCAATACCTGATTCATGAATCATGAATTGTGAGCAGATTTTGAGATTAAATTAATACTTTTCAAAACTGATCTGAGATTGATCAGGTTGCATGTTGTTACACAGAAACTTGGTGTGTTAATAACTGGAAAATATATGGATAAAAACTAAAGAAATGGCACTAAAAATGACATTGTCACTGCTTAAGCAGCATCCAGACTCCAAGAAATCTACAGCATAGACAGTCTACCATGTAGACAATGGATACAAATTGAGGTTAGCAAAGTCCATGAAAACATCGCAGAAAATCGTTCCTCTGAGATGTTTTATGATATAGAACAGCATAAAAAGAAGTATATACAGAATATGGACAGCAAAAACAAAGACCACAAACAGCACATTGGGTATAAAAACAGAAGAACAAAAATAAATGTACAATAACAGTCATCAGTGCCGTGCAGACTTTGAGTTGGAACTAACCAGCCAGTCAGGTGAGACGGCATTTATTAATAATAAAAGTAAATCATTAGAAGTTGCACATACAGACAATTAGAGTAATAGAGAGTCTTTGACATCAAGCTGAGTGCTTATGACTAAAGTGTTTCAGGCTCTATGGAAAATTATGCAAACTAATTCAAAACTAATGAGTAAGAAGAGATGAGAAACTTGCTAAATAAAATTCAAAGTCCCTGAGAAAGATCCAGACAATGCCCTCTATGAATGACGTGACGCTGATGTACTGAAATGATCATGGTTTAGGTGCCCAGGATGGCGAAAACAACCATCCAGGAAGTGATGAATGCCCACTAGTCTGCACAGCATGATACACTGCTACATGGCACTTCCTTTTTGGGAGGAATCAAAAATACTGACATGAAACAAAAAGAAATAAGGTAAAGTAATCCAAAGAATGTATTACAATGCAAAGAAGGATGAAGAGGGAGTGGCAGCTCAAGTAAACGTGGGAAGTGGAAATATACTTGGCAGTCAGAAAATAAAGAAAAAGCGAGACAAAGAGAGAGAGAGAAAGAAAGAACAGAGCAGGCTGTATGAAAAGAATCAAACCCATTTAGAGTGTAGACGTTATGGCTTTGCTTTCCTTTCTCATGCATCATTCATTTAGTGTCTGATAATAACAAACCATCATCAAACTCCAAAGATAAATACATGCAACCACAAAAAGATCATATTCAAAAGTCAAACAACAATTGAACATTGATTCATGATTCATTTGTTACTCAATCAAGGCTACACAAATTCTCTAAAGATCATATCTGTATTGCTTCATTGGGTTCTTACCTTTGCACAACATGAAATATTATGGGAGACATTTGAACTAAATAGGTTCTAACTGAAGATAAACATGTGGCCACATGATTTATTAAATTACGCTGTCAATATCAAGGCCAAGCATACACTACCATATAGAAACATGTTTTCCTGAGTGCATTTAACAACCCAGATTCTTGTTTTCCATCGTATTGTCATTGTTATTATGCTACATATATATATATATATATATATAT